TTTCAGTGAGAGAGGACCCTCAGTGAAAGAGATCCGTGGATGTTGTGATCAGATGACGCTAATGGGGGTAGGGTATGCACACGTCTAATACTTCCTTCAGTTGAAAAGACAATGTCTAAAATATTGTTTTGCCGGGTCGAAAAATCAGCTTACTGCGTAAGGGATAGTGCATCAAAAATCGATAAAAATTTCCTCGCTGAGGGTCTAATTACAGTGTGGCCACCTCCATTCAATATTTAGGTTCAAGTCATCGACTATTGTGGTAGCTAGGGGCAGTGCACAGGCGAGGTCGCATATGATCGATATGAGAAGGTCGTCCTGGCATTGGGTGGACGATATAAATAAGAAAAATAAAATTAAAATAAATTAATATAATATTGTAAATCGACACCTACTCGGCAGAAAGGTATCGAAGCATCTCACATCAGACACTAGTCCGATACTTTTGAAGCATACTTGCTCATATGACACCAGGCTATGAATCAAGGCACATACCCTTCCACCTTTACGGCTTTTCTCAGAATAAAATATGGGAAACCCAAACTAATTTTCGAGTCAGAAATTCTGTTACTCAACCAGAATTCTGTAACGAAAACTAAATGAGGTTTTGAGAGGCACTGACAGTGAAAGTTAGGTAGCTTATTTGCCAGGCTTCGTGCATTAATGAGCAAACATTCAACGTTCAGGGAAGGTCCGGGAAATGGCCTACCCGGAAAGAGGAATGTGGATCTTTCTTATTTTCAACATAAGAATATCGGATATTTTCACTATTTCTCCTACATAGGTTCGCTCACCTTTACAGTCCTCATTTAACTCATGCGCTTTCGCTCTCAACTATTTCTCTTTCCGGCGTTCGTCTTGGGTCATCGATTCTCGAATATAAACGTCTTTATAGGCCGGCATCGATCGTAATTTCCGTGCTCGCGACAGAACGTCCTGATGTATTTTCGAGATGAAAAGACACGCTTTACTGATCTTGGTTTTCCCTGGATCCTGGAACCCATCCTGTAGGATCTCCACAGGACGTGTCTCAACATCCAGGATATCAAGTATATTAGCAACAAAAGTTTCTGTTTGAGCCTGACGCCGGGAAGGCGCAACGTTCTTCTCATCCTCAGGCACTCCATACAGAACAATAGAACGCTGACGTTTGTAAGCTTCATCACACTACGCAAAGTGACGGAATAGAACTCACGGAGCTCTCGAGTAGTGGTAGGGCCTCCGGCGCAAGTGAACAGCTTAAAGGCACAACTCAGGCACGGATTTGCGGGGTAAGAGCGATCGATAACGGATGTGAGTGTGCATTGTTGAATGGAAATGGAAGAAACAGCGAAAAAAACCCGCGATGAAGCCTAAACAGGAACCTCCACTCTTCCAGTAACATCTCGCCTAGCCTTCAAGGGGAGGTGCAACCGGACGAGTTTTCCGAACTTGATATTAACACTTTGCTAGATTCATTTCATTGCTAGACTCATTTCATGCACACTCGCCTCGCAGCTGCGGCGAACCCCACAGCTGCGGACAAGTCGGCCCGTGCATCTCGTGCAGCTTGGCTTAGAAGACCCTAGCGCCTTTTTCGGGCGCTTTCGTTGCACGGGACTGTTACGTTCGTGATTGTCTGCTGGGGCACTACCTCACAGGACGAAGAGGACCGCTCACACGGATTCTGCCTGGGGTATCGCTTTAAAGTGAAATATAATCAATCAATCAGGATCCAATCGAGCTATGATGGAAATTGCAAATATAATGGAAATTCGCTGTTAGTCCAAGTGCAGATAGTTGAGCAGCCCAACTTTCTTAGCTTCTTAGCTTCTTTGGATGAAAAGATAGGAATGGGACATATTCACGTGCTAGGGACCTGGTTTAGTTCAGCTGAGTGCACGCTCAATTTTCGCTAAACTTTTTCAAAGGCAAATTCCGGGATTTCTGGCGAAATTTAGGTTTTCCCCGTCAAATATGGAGCAGTACGCAAGGGCAGACCATGTGCAGAAGTGGCGGGGCGTTTGATAAGGTTTAGGCGCTAGGGGCCTAGGTTGGAGCATTGGCGCCGCCCCAAGCCCATTGAGCCCGCCCACCGTCCTACGTGATCTTCCAAACAACCACCTGGAACGCTAGATGTTGAGCCGTTGTTTGGAAAGTCGTAGGGGAGTATTTAGCGGATTTCAATTGCGAAAAACTGACATCAAAGCCTATCTTACGAACATTTTGGCGGACGTTGTCATCATGCTAGTGAGAAGAAAAAATTTTAAGATAGGAAAAAACAAAAAAGCACAGAAAAATAGAAAAAAATAGGGAAACTAGAAAAAAAATCAGTTTTCATTGCTGGCTTTTTTGGCCGTGTCGGTTGATGGCACAAAGCCAACAGTTGCTGTAGACATGTCCAAACACGTAATTTTCCCAGCCCTGGTTCGTAAGCGACTAACGAAGAGGAATTTCTAATTTTGGAGTTCTTGGGGGTATTTCCTGCTTCTTTCATTATCTTCGATCAACATAGCACCCAACACTTCATACTCGAACAGGTGAGTCCCTCGTTTTATCCCGGAGTTTGCCTTTAATCAGTACAGTTGCCGCTCATACCACTTTCTGTCGCCTAATTTCAACCTCGCCACCTTGATCGCTTGCCAGTGATAATTATAACAAAGTTGGAGAGACCTGCATTCAGACGCTCATATCATTCCTGGTCATTTGTTATCAGTTCATACTGCTCGCAATCGGTGTCCCCATCCCACCCTCCAGGCAACGTGCAGGAGCTCGTGATTTATTGTCAACACGAAGGCTACAACGAAATTAGCGGTACTCAAAATCCTAACTTCCTTATCAACCGTTATCGCTTGTTATCACTTCTGATCATCCACTATCCGTGTTCCCGTCCCATCCCCTATACCACATGTGAGAGCCAAGGTTCCAATGTAACCGCAAGGGCCGCAACGAAACTGGTGGTATCCACACTTTGACGCCCCTTATCAGTTCTTATCAGTTGCTACCACATTCGTTCACTCAACTTCTTGGTCCCCGCCTCACCCCACATATCATACATGAGTGCAAACTCTTCACCACACCGTCAACGCAAACGGTGTAACGAAATTGGTGACATATCATCATTTC